TTAAATGTACTAAATATCAACATGTATCCTGATATTTATTATATATATATATATATTTACTATATATATAGTAAAAATCTATATATTTACTATATATATAGTAAAAATCTATATATTTACTATGTATATAGTAAATATCTATATCTATAGTAAAAAAAATATATATATAGTAAATATCAGGACACATGTTGATATTTAGTACATTTTTTAAATCTTTTAGCCATCCTATTATTTTATCGATGCATTTATTCATGTTCTTATGATTCATAGTTAAACAAATGAAATTTAAGCAAAAATTTAATTCTACTTTGTCACATTATGTAAATTCCTTGCATATTTACATCATTTAATCTTCTGTAAGCGCAATCTACGTTACAATGCAAAATTAAGAATGAAATAAAATTTTTTAGAATTTTCCATACAATCGCTAGGTGTTTCGATTATGTAAGATTATTTGATTTCGTATCCTTGTTTTAGCCACAAACCAGCTACCTCTGAGTCCTGTACAAATCCAGCCATCGCCGCCATATTATCGACAACCTAGTCAAGACGATGGTAGAAAGGTATATGTCTGTACTCTGTATATTTTGACAAAAATTTCTGCTTGAACTTTCCGTCCACCATTTCGTTGCCGATGATATTTTTAGAGCGAGTCCCCGTCGAGGAAACGCCGTCGAATATCCCGGAACGGTGCGGTCCCTGGAATAGAAGTCCGCGAGACCACGCCGCCATCTCCTACGCCGCCATTACACACGACTCCACCGCCATGGGAATACTCAACGGCGCCTCAGAGACGATCACCGCGGAATCACATGTCGACACGCGGCAGTCCAACCATCCGAAATCGTTATCAACGTTACACGGACTCGTTCGGCTTGTCCTATCCTCCCTTTGTGCCTGGCCATACTCCTCACCCGCCCATTCACAACTCCCACCATGGCATTCACAGTTCTCATCACAACATTCACAATTCGCATCACAATCTGCATAATTCGCATCATAATATGCATAACGCGCATCAAACGCATCCCCATCATCCGCCACCAGGCACGGGGCATCACCCTGCGCAAGGAGCAAACGGCCCTGTCGTTGTAGACGTTGGGCAAGTCGGTGTTTCTGGATTGGGGGTTGCCGTTAGCGGGGAACCGCTCTGGCATCCTCAGGCGACAGGTTACAGGATTCCTTGCCAGCTGCACGGCATATACACACCGACAGGGGCGCATCCATTCGCACACTCGTGCCAGGTAACATAGGCATTCTTCTTTCTTTTCTTATTATTATTATTTTTTTTATTTTTACTATTATTTCATCAACATTGTCATACTCATTATTATTATTATTGTTATTGTTATATCCAAGATATTGGTTTCATAATTAATTAAATTACTTGAATAATGAAAACTTTGTAACAATCGCGCCACCACGATTCTCACATCTGACAAATCTATTGTATCTTTACCTATTTCCTACATTTAAATTTTTCTCAAGTAGTTGACAACGAAGTTGAGAAGATTGATTATCGTTGAAATGCTCGATATAACGTGTTTAGATTTTAAGACCAAGTGAGAAAAGAATTTGTTAATGTATATTGTACCTTTCATCAGGTCGCCCATCATCATAGTCACTATTCAGCGGCTCATCCGACCCATCCGGGCCATAGCCTGGTGGGTTCGATAGTGGGCGCTGCATCCAGAGGATATCCTACGCCAACCGGAGGCCCTGTAGCAGCTCTTCATCACGCTCACGCGCCTCCGCCACCCGTCCATACTACTCATTATACTGCGCATCATCAACTCTCCCAGCAGGTACGATTTCCCAGTCGTGTATAATAAGAATTATTATACACGTTCTATGCCACTTCTGCGTCACTTTTCAAAAGCGAATATTTATCTTTAATGTTCTTTTTCTTCTGACTTTTTTCTTGCAGCGAGAAGTTGAATTAGAATTAATAGAGTCCCATCATCATCACAGAGTGGGGGCCACAGCCGGTGCACCATTACCATTACCACACTCGTATTCACCGCCTGCCCTCACTCAAGTTACCACTCCTACTCCTACTCCTATATTCTTATCGGAAACAAGGAACAGTCAATTGGAAATGATTCAGACGAGAACTCGGCGCACAGCGTCTAACGTTCACACGCTTAGACGATCAAGGTCGAGTAGATGGAGGGGTACACCTCCGATACCACCGACCACTTATTCAGGATTCTTGTTGCATTTCTTGTAAGTATCGTTTTTGTCGTTGACTACGACCAAGTCGGTGTCTATCTACGAGTATGAGAAATTTCGCCCGATGCTTCGGCATTCATGCTGAATGTAAAATACAGAGTAAACTACTAGTTTAGGAAAAGAAATCTGTAGACAGTCTGATCTTTCGATGTCTCGCTCGTGACGACTTTGTTTAATTTACAAAAAAAAAATTCTGCGATTCACAGTGCAATGCTCAGCAACCCACCATTATCTCCATACAGTCAGGCGGAACTATCCTCGCCGGACTCGGCGACCGAAAATTACGAGGCCTTGCTGTCTTTGGCGGAGAGATTGGGAGAGGCCAAGCCACGGGGATTGACTCGAGCCGAGGTGGAACAGCTACCGTCGTACAAGTTCAACGCGGAGACGCATCAGGGCGATCAAACGAACTGCGTGGTCTGCATGTGCGACTTCGAGGCTCTGCAATCATTGCGTGTACTGCCATGCTCGCACGAGTTCCACTCCAAGTGCATCGACAAGTGGCTTAAAGTAAGTTCAATGAGAATAATTTACGAGTCGTATTGCTGGCTCATTCATTACGTAAGCGTTGATGATAAAGTGAAGAAAATAGGCTTTTATAGTGGGCCATTATCTTTATCATCTTTACCTAGGCCACTCTCTTCGAATTACGTTCCCGTTAGTAACGACGGTCTATCCATTTCCTGATTACAGTCGAATCGAACGTGCCCTATATGCCGCGGTGACGCCGGAGAATATTTCGGGAACAGCGGGACCGGTAGCGACTGACGCCAAGCCGCTCAAGTACACTAGCGCCGACTGTCACGGGTCTCAGGGACGCTACTCGGCACAGAGCTTCCAGCGATCACGTTGCTGGTTTGTGCAAATTTCTGTTGACAAGCATTTCTTCTCACCTTTTCTCTGACCACCGAGCCGTCAATGTCGATCACCTCGACTTCGCAAAGAGGAGAGGATCGGGAATGAGCGAAGGATGGATAGCAGCGAGGAAGTTTTGTGGAATTAAAAGAAAAAAAGAAAAAAAAAAGAAAAAAAAACGAAAGAAGAAAACACAGTGAAATTCAGGGTATGATGTTCAGGGTGTTGGTGTCGAGAAAAAGAACCACACACACACAAACGCGCGCGCGCGCACACGCACACGCAATAAAGGTACACGATTCAAAATTACAGCATGCAACGTTTTTACATGATGAATTAACGTTTCTACGTTTATTCCATTATTCTTCCCCCCCCCCCCCGGGAATGGAAAGCTGTCGAAGAAAGAGAGAAAGAAAGATTTGAAAATGAGAGAGTGTAATAACGCG